AAAAGAAAAGAACACATCTACTGCATCATATTCTAGTTTGCACATTTTTTAAGAAACATGTTAGTAAACTAAACTACATGCACAAATGAGTAAAGTGATTACTTAAAAAGAGACATTCTGTGAAAAAAAAAAAAGCACTACTCTCAACATGCTGAAAAAAAGACCATTTTTTTTTCTAGAAGAGTAGCATGATACATTTTTTCTTTCATGTAAGATACAAAAGATTGGGGCCAGAGAGATGGCTCAGTGGAATAAGCGCTTCCCTGGCAAATGCAAGGGCCTGAGTTCAATCTCTGGTTCCGGAAAAAGAAATAAATAAAAATAAGATACAAAAGATACATTTTCATGTGTCATGGTGTTAAGTTTTTATTATGCTAAGTTTTTAACTCACTAATGATTCTAAACAACCATAGTTTACTACAGGGTAAGGCAGGATGAAGTATTTACTATGAACATTTTAATAAGGTTTAAATTATCTTTACTTGCTTGGGGTGACAGTAAGTACCATACTCCATTCTATACTAATCATAAAAGGGTAGTAAGCTATCCTACCTACTAGTAAATCCATACTTAAGTTTCAGGAGTAAATTACTAACATTAAAATCAACAGAAATTTTCTATAAGTAAGAGTGGAGTTTCTCCAGATTAAGATCTTGACTATGATTCACTAAGGTCTTTTCTAGCATAGCTGAAAAATTAAAGGTCAGATCTCAAACAAATAAGCGAAAAGGCATTGTTCAAAATCATGCATATTTACATATATCAATTTTTTCTAACAGGCTGAAATATATTTCAAGCCTGGTGTGGCATATACCCCTATAATCACAGTATTCAGAAGGTTGAGGCAAGAGGATTGCCATGAGTTCAAGGCCAGCATGAACTATACGGAGAGACCTTGTCTCAAAAAAAAATTTTTTTTAATTTTTTAAAAATTAAAATTAATTCTAAAAATACTCTTTAGTCAAGCATGGTGGCACACACCTGTAATCCCAGCAATTAAAAGACAGAGGTAGGAGAATTGCTGCCAAATTTGAGGCCAGCCTAGGCTACACAGTGAGATCAAAGCCAGCATGACCCTGTCTCGACCTACCACCCCAAGGCCCAAATAAAAGGAATAAAAACATACTTCAAATCAAATTATTTGAGACATGAAAACATTATGGAAAAGGAATACTTTATAGAGATGAAAAGTTACATTCATATTTAGAGCTCACCTTTTGAAAGCAGTTTTCTGAATTTCTGTGTTGCAGAAAGCTGTTGCTCCGGGCTATTAGAAAATATCATCTCAATCATATCAGAAGTAATAACACCACCCTGGGATCACAAACACAAAGCAAATGTAATAAGACATTAACTTCCACTTAAAAACAAAGATAAGTTATTGTATTATAGCCAAGTATCAAGTTAGCCATATTTCTCCAGATATTAATACAGGTAGAATAATATTTATACCTAAAAGTATATAAAACAATTAGTGATGTAATAAAGCCAAATTCTATTATTTAAAAACTCACAGTCATAAGAAAGTCATCTCAGTAGCAAATGCTAACACAAGAGGCTATCTCTCCTCTCCTTGTTTAGCGCTTAGCTAGCTGTTATTATAGAAATTAAATATTAAGTTTTAAACAATGGCTTTTTAAGACCTCTAAAATTAAAGCAGCTGCTCTAGCTCTGTCACATCATCCTATCTTAAGTCCATGCCCAGCCTCTGGTCGCTTCTAGATATTTTTCCTTCTTATTTGTTAATGTCTGGATTACCCCAGTTTACTTTACCTGAAAACCAAAGACCTTCTCTTTGTATTGTTTCAAATTCATTTTAACTGATACATAGAAACAATTGTACATACTAAAGAGATGTCATATGTTGTTTCAACGGTAGAATATTTTATTTTTTTTATTTATTTATATTTTTTTGTGGTACCAGGGAATGAACTCAGGACCTTGTGCTTGCCAGGCAAGGATTTATTCTACTAAGGTATCTCCCCAGCCCTCAACTGTAGAACATTTTAAAGCAAGACACTATCCACTTCACCACTGTATCACTAATGTCTGGCATACAGCAATACAAATGTTTGGCTCATACTTACTGAAGGAGCAGATAGTGGTTCTATATAAATCATAAATTCTAACCACTGCAAATTCAACAGTTGACTCTTAAAACTTATTTATAATTCTAATTTTCTTGCTTTATTAAAGCTACTTTCTCACTTTACCACAACCTGGTGCAGACAAGGTGTTTGGTACTAGGGACTGAACACAGGGCCTTTACACTCAGCTAGAACAGGGTCTCGATAGGCTGCCCAAGGTGGGCTAGACTTGTGATCTTCTTGCCTCAGCTTCCCAGAGTTCTGGGATTGCAGGCATGCACTCCCCCGCACTCCACCACCCTCCACCCCCTGTATTTTACTAATTTCAAAAGCTTTTTCTGTTTCCTGCTATATTCTTGCTCATGCCCACTATCAGTTTCTTCTCAGGACCACTGGTCACAATGAAACGAAGTTCATATATTAAGAAAAGTTAGGGGCTGGTGAGATGGCTCAGTGGTCTAAAGCACCTACTTAGAACAAGCTAAGCTAAGCTAAGCAAAGCACAGGGACCACGGTTCAATCCCCCAGCACCACATACCAGCCAGCCCCGCCCCCTGGTGGGCTGAGCTGGCCACACACACACGCACACACACACACACAATAAATAAATAAAAATTAAAAAAAGAAAAAAGAAAAGTTAGAGTCCACAAGATGAACTATAAAAATGTTCCACTGAACGTAAATGCTAGGTGGTTGGTAGGCAATATCTAACATCTAAGAATACCTGTATGGTTTCTCTTTCTCTGAAGAACCATAATAAAATCCACAAAACAGCATATTCATTTAATACCCAATATACAATATGCAACAATAGATCCACTTAATTTTTAAATTGCAAAGACTGAATTTCTGAAAGCCCTAGAAAATGGCAGCATGAGAAACAATGTCTAAATCAACTACAAAAGAAATATACTCCCTTCTCAATTCCAAAAGAAAACAGGTACAGCTAGAGCTATGAAGGGAAATTCAAAAAAAACCTAGAAAATACTGTCCATAATATACTACCACTTGCACAGAAAAAAAAAAAAAGGTCAGGTGGATATGGAGCATCTACTTTCCTTCACAAACAAAAGCTCTATAGAAGAGTAAGAACTGAGTAATGATGGTTGTCAATGAGTAAAAATATTGGATGAATAAGGCAAGAGATACTTTTCTCTTGAAACAAGTATATATAATCTATTTAAAAACTATCTACTTATAATACACAGAAATACATATGAATCATCTACACAAGGCATAATTTTTGTAACTATGTAAGTCAAAAAAGTCACAAAACTTTTTATAACAGAATATTGCAACAGTTCTGATAATCAACTTTTAAAAATCATATATATGCTGATTTTATAATTGCCCCTTTTAAGGGGTAATTTTAATTCTTTAATTGATACACAATAATTATACAAATTTATATAGCACAGTGGAATGTTTTGACATAGTCTTTGTCAGTTTTACAGCTGAATTAATTTTCACAATTTAGTTAATTTTGTTTAAGAACATTATTCAAAATACAATAAAACACTAAGTGATATAGCTTCTTTTTAAAAATGAAACATCAAGTACCTTTTGTAGCCATATAACCTTATCCATTTATTAAGCTCAGAAAGAGATCACATCTCATATCTTCAAAAAACAGTCCTTGGGGCCAGCCAAATAGCTCAGCGGATTAAAGCATCTGCAAGCAGACACAGAGGCCGGGGGTTCCATCCCCAGGCCTGCTGTGCCAGCCCTGCCCCAGGCACATTGAGATGGCAATTGAGACTGGGCGCGTGCCTATAATCCCAGCTCTTGGGAGGGTATAAACAAGCGGATCACTAAAGTCTGATCTAGTAGTGAGACAGACCCTGAACACCCTATAGACCGTACCCTAAAACACAACAAAACAAAAGAAAAACAGCCCTTTTTATCATTGTACTTACTGGTGCCATCTCCATGTTATTAATCTGGGCCTCATGAAAGCCACCATCTGACATAACTTCTTCCTCTGCTTCTTCTTCTGCTGTAGCAACATTTCTTCGCTTGAATAACTGAAAAATGAAGCTATTAGTAATGCAGTTTTAACACAAAGGAGTTTTGCATCCAAATACCAGACATTTCATTTAAAGGCAAAAGGAAAAAATTAAAAAAAAAAGGCAAAAGGAATGGAGTTCCTTGAAAGTCACCTTCAAAACTCTATAAAGTTTTGAATAATAGAATTTATTATCACTATTATATATGCATAACCAATACTTGATTGAGATAAAACCTTAGAGGTCTTGTGTGTGCATATTACAAAAAAAGGTACAAAAGGATCTGGAGCTTGGCCATTTCTAACATCTCTTCTATGTGAAGCAGAAAACAGGATGGTCTTAACAGGGCATCAAGGGAAATGACATACATGATGGCAGTATGTTTACTACTTTCATCTTATTCCCCAACAATAGTGGCTTTCTTTATGACAGCTGCTCTGCATCCTCCAGGGTGTACCTCTACTCTGTTGTTTCCGCTTTTGTTTGGCCCAAGCTCACTAGGCAGAGCCAGTTTCTTTCTCACTCCTCACTTATTAAAATAATTTTGCAAAGAAAGACAGAAACAAACAATACTGGTCTAAAGCTCTTTCTCAGCCTAAGAATTAGTGACAACAAATAAGGATTCCTTGAACACTACTTTAAAGCATCTACTGATTTGCACAGTGAAAGAACAGTTCTCTCCATAGCCCCGTAAGATGCTTTTCATTATAGCCTTGAGAATCGTATCAGAACACTTACTCATTTAGCCATGAAGGAGAAATAGTAACATATCTTCCCATCCTAAACAACTAAGAAGCAGAAAAAATACATAAATATTGTATAATTTTTTACAAAATTACAATAGATATTGATTCCTCAGAGAAGAAATACACAAGATCAGATCCATGGATGCCTTACGTTACTGCCTCAAGAATCTCTAGGCTGAGATGCAGGGAAGCAAATGCAAACATAGCTTAGATGTTCCCTGAGTTACAAGTTTAGAACTGAGGAGGCCAAGACACAGAATTCAAAAGGTAGAGTATTAAGAAGGAAATTAACATACAGAGAACTCCAAAGATCTACAGATGGTTGGTTCCCTTTAAGTCTAATTTAGTACTGATGAGTGCATAATCATCTTCCACAAGACACAAGCAGAGGGAATACCTAACTTGTTCTTTGGGTACAGTATTAACTATGGTTAGTGCTACAGTAAACAACAGAGTGCAGGTATCTCTGATACAGTAATTTCATTTCCTTTAGCTATATATCCAGTAATGGGATAGCTGGAGCACACAGTAGTTCTTTTTTAGTTTCTTAAAGCTCTATAGTATCTTATATAATGGTTACTAAACAGTCCCAACACTCTTACCAGCTGTGTACAAAGTATGTAACATTTTCCCTTCTCTATCCTTGTAAGGAGTTTTATTTGTTGTTTTGATTACAGCCATTCTAATAAGATGATTTCTTTACAGATTTTGATTTGCATTTTCCTGATTGGCAATGTTGATCTTTTTTCACATTCTCCTTGGCCATTTTATATCTTCTTTTGAGAAATGTCTGTTCAGATCACTTATCCATTTTTAAATCAGATTATTGTTTTGCTGTTGAGTTTTTGGTTCCTTACATATTCTGGGTATCAGTTTCTAGACAGGTAGCTGCCTCTTCACTCTGCTGATTACTTTGCTGTGCAGAACCTTCTTAGTTTGATATAATCCTGCTTTTCATTTTTGTTTCTGTCAACTGTATTTTCAGGGTATTATCCAAAGCACTGCTTTTCCCAATAGGTGATACATATACATACAAATTTTGGTATCAATCCACAAAGCAAAACTTTCTCTTTTGCAATGGTCACATAAATCTCCTCTCTCTATACATATAGAGGAGACCTGGTCTAACTGTGCAGACCAGGCTGACCTGGGACTCACTATGTAACCCAGGCTGGCCTGGAACTCATGGCAATCCTACTGCCTCAGCCTAAGTCCTGGAATTACAGGCATGCACCATGATGCCCATTTTCCCCGTTCTGTCTTAGAGTTGACCATAAAGAAACTTTCTGACTTAGCCCTAATAGATGATTAAGACTCTTCATTCTAGAGGGAGGATCCCTACCTTAAAACATGGAGAAGCAAGGCATGTACCCTTTTCATACATATTTATTGCATTTCTCATTTCATGTCATACCCATTTGCTAATTCCTGATTTATAATGGTTCTGTTTTTGAATTTGAGGCTTTGTTTTGAGAGACCTCCTTATTGAGGCCCTCCCATTTGGATGGGAGGCAACACTTTCCAATCACTGTGTTGTAAAAGCAGTGTGCATTAAACTGAAAGCGTAATTCAAGTGTCATCTTTTCCTGGGCTATTTAATACTGTGATATAGTACTTTTGCTTGATGCCAGGTAATGGCAATGATCTGCAAGTGCCACACTCAATCATGAGGGTAAACAACTGACAGTCCAGAGTGTTCTCTGGGTTGCCAGAATATTCTGCTCCTCCCCTTTTTCTCATTTATGTATTTGATACAGGGTCTCACTATGCAACTCAGACGCATAGTGATCCTCCTGTTTTCAGCCTCCCCAGTGCTGGGATTACAGGTGTGCACCACTACGCCCAGACTAGGTCATGGGCTCAGCACACACCTCAGAGGTGGGGCTGGCACGGCATGCAGGACAGGATATTCTGGGCAAGTGCTTTATATTTTAACATCCTGTCATGTCTGTAAAGTGTCTTTATATATCTTCTACTTCTAATGAATCAAATGCATTTGAAACATACAATAGATTCAACTTATGGTAAGTTTATGAGGGCATAACCTTATGGCATTTGTGTCTGTAATTTCAGTTAGAATTTTCTTCTTAAAGGATGAGAAATGTGTATGTGTGCTTAGTGATACAAGTAACACATGGGAATTAATTAGACTAAAAAAGTTTCAAAGCATGATGTTTGTGAGAACCACTGCAATATAATTTTGATTCATTAAATTCTAGAAAGGGGGGAAAAACATGGAGAAACAAGGTACAGAGATAAGAATGTTAAAATAGTCCTTGCTGGGTTTCCCTACTCAAGTCTATTAGCATTAGAGATGAATGGAAGTCTTCATCAATATTCAAAAAGAAAGGATTCACAGAGCTTCCAGAGAGTAGAGCACATGGAGATTGTTTGAAGATAGCATGACTGAAGATGGCTTACAAGTTCTGGGCTCCTCCCATACCTTACCCCACACATCTCTTCACCTTAATTCCTTGTGCCTTTTTATAATAAAACAGTAAACACTTCCTGAGTTCTGTGAACTGCTCCAGCAAATAAATCAAACCAAAGAAATGATTCTTGATCAATAACTGACAAAAGTATAGATAAAACAATTTAGTGTTTGCAACTGGCATCTAACATGGAGAGGAGGAGGAGGACGAGAGTTAAGAACTGAGATCACCCTGTATCTAACTATTTCCAGGCAGTGTCTGAACTGAACAGGACTATAGGACACTCAGCTGGTATATACTGCCTGAAGAACTGACTTACTGCTTGCAAGTACAGAAAAGTGCCTACTACTTTTGAGGTAACAGAAGTCTTCTGTATTGTGTGGTATGAGAATAAAGACAATCTGTTTTTCCAAAGTATTTCCCCTATGTTCTCTTCCAATATATAGTTTCAAATCTTACATCTTTGATGCACTTTAATTTTATACATGGAGATAAAGGTTAGTTTTATTCTTCTATATACCAATATACAGTTTTCCTAGCACTATTTATTGAAGAAACTGTCCTTTTTCCAATGTATGCTTTTGGTGCTTTTTACTATCTATCTTATCTATCTATCTGTATCTTTTTATGAACAGAATACATTTACTGAGGGAAAGAAAGTTCCTGTCCAAGAAGGGGACAGGAGGGGGGCCCAAGTGGGTGGTCCCCTACTCTATATTTTTAAGACTTTTATGACTGGTTTTGAGTATGTAGGTTATAATATGCCATAACATAATTTTCTGCATATTTTTTTTGTGACTGGGATTCACTAATTTTTCTATTCAGTGGATTTATAGTTTTCACTAATTATATCAAGTCATCAGCTGTTATCTAAAGAATTTTTTTCTTCTCATTTCTTTACCTTTGAGAACTCCAATTATTCATGTATCAGCTTTTTTGAAGTCTCACAGCACACCTATAGCATGTGTATATGTATGTGTGTGTGTGTGTTTATATACCTCCTTCATTTTAGATAGTTCTACTTCTAAGCTTTGAAATCCACTACTCTTTTCTTCTGCAACGTCTAACTTGCTACTGATCACAGCAGTATCACCTTTCATCTAAGCATCATATTCTTTATCTGCAGAAGTTTAATTTCAATCTTTTATACAGAATATAGTTATTATAACTACTTTAAAGTCATTCTTTGCTAAATCTAACATCTACTGCACTTTCAAATGAACATTCTCATTGTAAGACGTATTTTCCTGCTTTCCTGTATACTTGGCAAGCTTTCTTTAGATGCCAGATATTTTCAATTTTACCTTGCTAATACTGGCTATTTCTGTATTTCTATAAATATTCTTGAGTTCTACTCTGATATGTACCTATACTGAAATAATTTGATACTTTTGCACCTTTTGTTATGATTTGTTAGGCAGATCTCTAGAGCAGTGCTAAGTCTAGAGCTAATTTCCATGACAGAAGCCAAGACTTTCCTAAATCCTCTATGAAGTATGAGTTTTCCTAGTCTGGCTGTGCTAAAATAATCATGATTTGTATACTATATCGTTGGTAAGACTACAGAATGCCTAGACTTGTTAGCGAACTAAATTGAGGGAAACACTGGATGTCCACATTTATCAACTTGGTTATTCCAGGAAGTATTTCTTTTAAGTAGAAATATCAAACAAGCCATCACTCTTCACCCCTATGGAAACCACATTATGTATTATTTACTCACACTGGTTCACCAGGAAGCTATGTAATTTAAAATATTTCAACAGTGAATACAAAGCATTCCTCAAACTAAGTACTAGCTCAATCAGAATGGCACCAACTAGTACACTGGTATGCAAAAATGTAATTTTTTAGTTTGGTCTGTCACTGTTATCTTGCTAGAGGTGATATACGCACCTAGATAAAAATTCTGATCTACTAAAAGAATGACCATAAAGATGCAGGCATCTTGGTACACTTAACAGCACCATGTAATCATAGCATTTTCAAATCTAGATGCTCTGTTGGCAGAAGCCAGAGATTTTTCCAGACAGATGAAAAAGCAACTGTGCAGAGCTAAATAAGTAATTTTGCATTTCTTGATGGTCATTATTTTACAAACTACACATGATATAAGTACTGTTGTAGTATAAGGAAGCCAGTTTTCTGAGAGGGTTGGGGAGGTGGCATTGGGGACTAAACCCATGTCCTTCAAACTAAGCTATATCCCCAGCCCCTTTTTAAATTTTGAGACAGTCTCATTAAGTTATTAAACCATCCAGGATTATCTGCAGTCCTCTTGCTTCAGCTTCCTGGAGTGCTAGGATTAAAGGCATGAGCACCACATGAAGTGGATCTGTTTTATCAGTTCTCTTAATACAAGTTGGCACAAATGAAATGACAAAATCCAGTTATTTATTAAAGCCCAGAGTACTTTCAGATATCATACAATGAATATAGTAGACTTCCAACTAACTATAATATTGGGGGGTTTATTTTGTTTTTTTGAGACAGGGCTCACTTTATAGCCCAGACGGGCCTAGAACTCATGGTAACCATCCTGCCTCAGCTTCCCAAAACTGCCACAGATCAGAGGCATATGCCACCACACCCAAAATTTTTCGAAGAAGATAAAGTGAAGCTAAGTCCTAAATTGTCTTAAGCTATTAGCTTAAAAATGATTTTTAAAAAATCATGTCCTTTTAAATGCCCTCATGAATTAATACAGTCATAAGATAGATATATTTCCTGAAATTTATTTTAAAATATTAGCTAGTAAAAAAAAAGTGAAGACAGATATGAAATAGGACACAAACTGAAAACAATTATTGAACCTAGAGAATAGATGCGTATCCTTCATTTTGTATGCAATTTTTCAAATTAAAACCATAAAGACAATGATTCTTGGTCATTTCAGAATTCATTAATGAAATACGCACAAGAATCTTAAGGAAGCTGCAATTGTAGAAAAATTAAAGAAACTAAAAACAAACAAGGCCAAAAAAGTAAGCAGTGTTTTTACTGAGAAAATGAAAACCTGAGTAATTTTCCCATTCTTGTATTCAATTTTTCAGTACCACTTCTTCCCTTTCTAAAAATAGTGGTTTGATAGTGTAAGGAAAGGAGAACACAGATACATCACGGTTAAAATAAAAAGAGGGAAGTTGCCAGCTTGAGATGGAACATTGTTCTGAAAGGAATGAGCAAAGATAGAAGACTTACTTGCTCCTCTCTTTTCTGTTTTCGTAGCTGCAGTCCTTCTTCCTCCCTCCTCCTGCGCATCTCATCAGGATTTAGAGATTTGTTCTTATAACTTTTCAGGCGAAAGTTTTCTTTTCCTGGGGTGGTCATGATTTCTACAAGAGAGGAAAGAGAACAGAGGAGCTAGCTTACAATAAAAAAGTTCTCTTATTCCACAAGCTCAGCCTTAAGCATACATATGTTTAGTTTAGACACTAGAAATTATATTTAACAGCTTTATTAAAATATATAGTTTATTATATCACATTACCATAGTGAATTTTAGAGTATTTTCATCAGCTCTCAAAACACTTGCGACTGGGAATGCAGCTCAGTGGACAGTACTTGTCTAGCATGCATGAGGATTCAATCCCCGGCACCATAAATTTATAAAGTCAGAAAAAAAAAAAAAAAAAGGAGAAAAAAAATCTTATATCCTTTAGCTATCATTCCTATTCCATTTTAGATTATCATATATGAAAAGAATCACACAATATGCAATCCTTTATGACTTTCATAAGCATAAAAGTTTACAAAGTACATTTACATTGTAAAATATATAAGTACTTCATTCCTTTTAATGGCTGAATACTATTCCATTTTACATATATAGTGAATTATACTCCATCATCATGTTAATGGATATTTGAGTCATTAATGTATTGTCATTATGAACAACAGTCCTGTAAACACTTGTGGTCCAACATGATGGTGTACACCTGTAATCCCAGCAATCAGGAAGCTGAGGTAGGAGGACCACTGAAAGTTTGAGAACAGTCTGGGCTACTTAGTAAGTTTAAGGACAGCTTGAACTATAGAGATCCTGTTGCAAAAAACAAAAACAACCAAACGTGTAGACAAGTTTTTGCATAGACATATTTTTATTTCTTTTTCTTATATACTAGAAGTGGAACCACTGAGTTACACACTGTTTAATCTTGAGAGAACTACTAAACTGTTTAGTCAAAGCAGCTTTACCATTTTATAAGCCCATCAGCAGCACATATGAGGTGGCAATTTCTCTACCTCCTCACCAACACTTTGCTATTATGACCTTTTAATTCTGACCATTCTAGTGGGTAGGAATCAATCCCCTGATGACCAATGAAATCCAACACCATTTCACATAATTATTTGCTAACTATAACATTCCCATTAAAATAATCTACCCAGATCCTTTTGTTTCTAAACTGGATTATCTTCTTAATGAGTTGTAAGAATTCTTTTACAATATACTTGCACCAATTCCCCCCAATGAACGTGATCATCATATACTGCGAACATGTATTAATAAAAGGTTTTTTAGGAGTTCTTTATACATTCTAGATAAAACTATCAGCTATACGATCTATAAGTATGTTCTAAATATGTCCTCCCATTCTATAGGTTATCTTTCCACTTTTTGATGGTTATCTGTTGAAGCAGAAAGACTTCCCTTTCTTGAAGGCATTAATCAAAAGAAGAATTTTCCTTTTCATGCTTTTTTTATTTTGTTGAAACAGGGTCTTGCTGTAGTTCAGGCTGGCTCTGAACTCACTAAGTAGTCTAGGCTGGCCTCAAACTAGTGGCAATCCTGGCTCAGCCTTCCAAGTGCTGCAATTACAAGAATATACCACCTTACCCAGCAAATTTCTGTTGTTTCAGGAGCCATCTAGTCTCTGGTGTTTTGTTACAACTGCTTGAATGGACTAGAAAACTTGTTGACCAGCTCAATAGTATACATGCATGTTATTATAAATGCCCTTTACCATGTTAAGCATTTTCCTTCCATTCTTTCTTTTTTTTTGGGGGGGGGGAGCCAGGGATTGAACTCAAGGCCCTTGAGTTTGCCAGGCAAGCACTCATTCTACTGAGCTATCTCCCAGGCCCTTTCCTTCCATTCCTATTATGATTTAAATCTAAAATGCCCCTCCAACCCTCTACCCCCTCCCCATGCAAAGTCTCATGCATTCAGATGAAAATTTTAAAAGGTGATTGGATGGGAAGAGCTATACTCATCAGTGGATTAATCCATTGATAAATTCAGGAGTTGCTAGAACATAGGGCTTGACTGAAGGAGTGGGTTCTGGAAGTCATGGCTTGGAAGGGTGTACTCTTGCCTACAGCTCCTACTTTTTCATATTCTCTAAGCCATTTTTTCTGTCATGCTGTTCCACTTGGAGCCAAGCAATTTAACTAAGTTTTGAGAGTCAGATATTTTGTCCCAGCAGTGGAAAAGCTAATACAGAGTTGCTGAATGCTTTTTATCATTAAAAGGTGTTGGATTTGTCAACTGTTTTTCTGTGTATACTGAGATGACAATGTAATTTTACCTTGATCGGTTTTTAGACTTTAAACCAAGCTTGCATTTCTGGGATAAATCCCACTTGACCATGATGTGTATGTATTTCTATATGATGTTAAACTCAGTTTGTTAGTATTTGCTGAGAATTTTCATATTCATACTGACTACACAGTGATGAGAAACCTATGGCATATGTACCATACAGGCTGTTTGTTATCACTGAAACAAACACTAAAAGGTTCATCACTGACCTGGCCTGGATGAACTGTCTGTGGAAGTCTTGTGAAGCTTTTGTCTGCCTTTTCTATCGGAATAATATAAAAGATGAAAGAAAATGTTCCCCAATCTTCACCTCTGGAAGACACTTTGTAAAGATTGAGTAAAGTCATATTTAAGTGGATGCCACTTGAAGATATACTTATTAGTGAAATAAACCAGACCCACATCTGTAAATATCGTATTGTCTCCCTAGTATAAGGACTTACAATTCCATATATGGTTAGGTTTCTAAATTTCTTTGTAAAAATATGTAAATGCTTATTTCTACTTTTATATAATTATCTTTCCTTCATATTCTGTAAGGACTTAAAGTTCAACATATCAATATTTGATGGAAAATACCTGTTTCATGATATGCCAAAATGTTTGATATTTAGACAGACAGGATAAACCGAACTGCATATATTACAGGTTAATAATTAGCTTTTTGTCTGGAGGGTTAACAACCTAAGTTAGCAGATCAAAATTGGAGAAAAGGAAGGGCTGCCAAGATCAACCAACATTTTGGCTCTAGCCTTTCAAAGTCAGTGAAGACTCAGGACATAGGAGAACCTGTACTGTAACAACATGTAACTCAGTTGTGCTCCAAATTTTCTGATCAAGAAGATTATGGAGTCACAGAGGAATGTGTTCGATGATGTATAGTGTGCCTGGGGAGTGTCACATGAAGAGAAAAAATATTTTCTCAGGTTTTCACAGAGAGCAAATTGGTCAAGCAATGGCTGTGACTCATCCACATGTCTGACACTGACAAAAGGACGTACAAAGGATGGTACAGGGCTACAAGATAAATCCTGAGAGTACTTGGCTGACCTTATCAGATACAAAAGTTACATTCCTTGGTATATAGGTCTTGCTATATCTTGGTCTTAACCATCCAGCAGAAAAGTATAAAAACCAAGTATATAAAGTAAAGCTATATTAATACTATGAGCTGTAAAACGCTCAAGTCAATAACTTCTGAGGATAACCCACTAATATTATAGACTGCTAGACAGTGTTAGATTGTTTAGTTGAATTCAAACACCTATAGTAGTTAGATGCCAATAGAATATTCACCTCTGACAATTAAAAAAAATGATACAAAGGAATGATCATTTTGTATTTATATATACAAAATAGGATAAATTTACAGCTACTTTCACTTAATTCAGAGAGAAGAGGTGTAGTAACAGTGTTTGGACAGAATATCCTGTCTGCTTCTTGTACTATGGATAGCCACTAAGAAGATAACAATGTATAATGTATTGATTATCAAAACTGTCCTATTAATCAGCTGTGAAACTGTCTCATTCATATTTATTTCTCGATAAAATTTTTTTTAAAAAAGATTGAGTAAAGTATTACTTCTTTTAAGTGTCTGGGAAAATTAAACAGTGAAATTAGATGGGCCTACTTTTCTATGTTTATAGTTTTGTAACTAGTTAATTAAGCATCTTCACATCTTATGCAGATTACTATGCAGTAATCTGTGCAGATGTCTTAAGTTTTAGTACTTTTTGTTTTTCAAATAAATTTATGCATTTCACCTGAGTCACTTAATTTATTGGGATATAACTTTACAGTACTTCTTCCAAACCCTTTTATTTTTGCAAGGTCACTAATAATGTCCCTTCTGTTTCAAACTTCTTTCCCCTCCACTTTTTATTAGTACATCCTGGTTAAAAAGATGAACGAATTTCATTTTGGCAGTTTTATAAATGCATGTAACATACTTTCATCATTGCCCCCGGCACTCCTGGCCCACCTTCCTTCCTAGTTTCACATGGACTGGGAAGCTTGGTTCAGATCTGAACATTACAACCCTTCCCCTACCATATACCCAAAGTGCTGTCGTCTTCTCAAATTTCAGTAACCCAGGACCAGCAAGATCCAAACATATTAAATAGAAATTTCTAGAAATAATTTATAAGTTTTAAATTGCACACCATTTTAATTGTTGATAAAAATCTCACACCACCCTCCATCTTTCTGTATGGAATATGAATCATGCCTTGGTTCACTGTATGCAGCTACACTGTTTCCCTCAAAGACCAGGTTTTCGGAATTGTTGTTCCAAAAACACAATAGGGCATATTTTCAGGAGATGTCGTATGTCTTCATATACAGCAATCTATATTTATTCAAGTACAAAAGTCTACATTTGTTTAAATACAGTCATGTCTTTTTCTTCCAGAACATCATCATAGCTCTCTGAACCCTTCTTGACCTGAATTTCTTGCAACTTCATTTCCTGTAAAACCACTGGTCCTAATCTCTCACTTCCAGCAACAAAGTTCTCCTTAAATGAGCACTTCATGTCTATAAAGCCTGCTTGTCGTGCACTGGCAACACAGACGTCAGTGATTTTTATCCCATAAATTCTTCACCCAAGTCATGACCCCTTCAGGTTAGACTTCACACACCTTACATTAAATCAAGTGTTATCTGAAGATTTACAGGACAGGAGTAGCAACAAGACTGATGGAAGTTAAGAATGATGCTCCACACAAAAATAATGAAAAACTGAAGGCACCAATTCAGAAAGTTAATTTCACATTAGTGCATTAAGTA